ATTATTATTATTATTATTATTATTACCTCGCCCATCTGGCTGGGTTTTCCCAGCCACTCTGGGTGGCTTCCAACAAAATATTAAAATACAGCGGTCTGTTAAACATTAAAAACTTCCCTAAACAGGGCTGCCTTCAGATGTCTTTTAAAGATAGGATAGCTGCTTATTTCCTTCACATCTGAAGGGAGGGTGTTCCACAGGGTGGGTGCCACTACCGAGAAGGCCCTCTGCCTGGTTCCCTGTAACTTGGCTTAGCGCAGTGAGGGAACTCCCAGAAGGCCCTCAGAGCTGGATCTTTGTCTAAATAAACAGGGCTGGAGAACCACGTTCAGCCCCTGAGCCTGAAGTTCCCCACCCCTTATGTACTTAGGGCTGGTTCACAGGTACACAAGTACATCAACTGATTTCTCTCTGCTTATGGAGAGTCAGCTGAGAGTGTGAAGCTTTTGTGTGCTGAGATGCCACAAGGCCTCTTCCCACTTCCATACCTTTTTCATACTTTGGGCCTGGGCTGAAGTGTTTGGTTGTTGTTTGTCACCTTCCAACACGGGGTGGTTGAGGACATGCAAAAGGGAGTTTCGAAACCGTTCCAGTCTGCGTCGTCCGCGGAAATGGTCCCTGCCACCCACGCACGGCATTCGTGTACAATTTACATTTTGTCCCAGACTTTGCCGCATTAGCGCTGTGACTCGGCATGGCATCCTCACAGCCCCGCTGGGGGACGTTAGCTTTTAATCTTCATCTTTTCTTCGTTATATGGATGCCTCCTTCAGATCAGCTTCCAGGAATTTCTCCTCTCTGCTGCCTCTCTTCTTGCATACGGGAATTGGCCTTTGAAAAAGCAGCAACAACTCAAACATTTCGCGCACGAGAAGAGAGAGGGTGTGCATGTGCGCATGAGTCAGGCAGCCTGTGTGAGGAGGGGAGGAACATGGGGTGCCCTGGGCAGAAGGAAAGGGCGGGGGCAGTGTTGGCAAGTTCTGAAGGCTGGGGATGTCAGGGTGAGCATCTTGGCACACGAGTATCGGCTTGCAAGTGTGCCAGTTTGGCTACAAAAAGCTCCAGGAGCCAAACGTCAGCAACACTGGGCCTTCTGCTTCTTAATGTCCTTGGCCAGACTGTGGCCTTTTGCTGGGGAGTTGTGGATCTTGGCTGCAGATGGGAGCCTGTCTCGTGAGTCTGGCTCCCCCCACCCTCTCTTCACACAGGGAGACCAAGCCAGGCACAGCCTGGAGCCAGTCTCCTCCGCAAAGCAGCACTAGCAGTAGCAGGTCCTAGCTATTTTGGGCCCATTACTAGCTTTTTGTTCCTATTAAAACTTTCCCGCTCCAGTTCCCCATTCCTCTTTTACTTGCAATCCGTGCTTGGGTGTCTTGTGCTGAAGAGCAGCCTCTGCCTGTTTGTCAAACGTCTGGCCTCCTTTTCTAGCCCTTTCGTCCCTTCCCCACACTTCTTCCTTCCCAAGCATTTTACCTGACCTGGGTCCGCTATGACAGGTTACAGCTTTCCAGGAGGGGGGTGGGGTTGAATAGCTTGGCTGTCAAAGCGAAACACAACCCTCCCTTCTTTTCTTATGTAAACAAGTTTCTGGTATTTTGGAGCCTGAGAGTACAAAAGTGACCCTTGCCTACCCCACAAGCTGCCTATCTCCCAGCTATCCCTATTTAGACAGCCATGTGGATGTTGCGTCCTGAATGTTGTTTTCAATAGCGCAGGAAAGGTGCTCTGTACATGTTCAGACGTACTCTTCTATCACTCATGGCTGAACCTCTGGCACTGGAAAAAAAGAACTTCCATGGCTTCCTGTTCTGCTGTCATGTGGTCTGAACCAAGAAGCTTCTTGGAATTTTCCAGCATTTCTGCTAATTCTAAACAAAGTGGAAGGGAATCCCCTCCACTGATGCACCCAGAGAATGAGGTGGAGCATTCGTATGTCATCTTCTCTGTCTGGCCTCAGATTCCTCCAAAATTTCTTTCACAGGCTGAACAGGAAAAGATCAGGCAGCGAATAGGGTCGTGAAAGAGAGAAGAGAAGGAAGGGGAAAATGAGCAGCACTGAAGTTTTCATAATGCACCTGTTAGTAAATACCCTTTTTAAGGCTTTGAAGTGATGCCACAAGTGGTCTGGGGATGGAGCCTAGTGAAGGTTGAGAAGGATCCAGTAACTGAGTTCAGTGCTACTGTACTGATCTACAATAAGAACATAAGAACAGCATCCTGTTCTCACAGCAGCCTCTGGGAAGCCCACAAGCAGGCCCTGAGCACAGCAGCGCTCTTGCCACTTGTGAATCCCAGCAACTGGTCCCTTGGACCTTCTTTCCAAAGCCCGGCACCTCTCTTACCTGGCTTTGGGAAGGTCATGCAAGGAGTGTGTGTGTATCAAATTCTGGCCTTGCACAGTGCACCATATTACCAAGGTCTGTCCCTGCCAGCCATTTCAGCTAGTAGCCCTTGTCCTCCATTAGTTTGTGTGATCCCCTTTTAAATCTGCTCTGCCCTGGCCCAGCTAGAAATGCTTCACGGTCAACAAAAGCCCTGTTTAGGCCTTTCCTGCCTGGCTTTCCATCTCCTTCCAAACGGCCTTCTGCTTTGCTACTATCTTGGGTCCTACTCAGGCTGTCAGCACTGACCCTGTCCAGTGGGCCTTTGGAAACCACGTTCAGCCTTTTAGTCAATGGTCCCTAGAGCTCCATTGCTACATCGACCCCTGATCTTGGCTCTGTTTTGCCTTGTCTGATGCTGACAATATGGAATACTGGCAAAACTTTACAATATTCCGGAGAAACATTTCATTCACCGCTGAGCTTGGCGATCCAGCGAAACATGATGGGGATTCCAGGAAAACTTGTGTTCTCCTTCCATGGCTGCTTGAGGCATGCCTCATTTTGCTTCCAGATGCAAATTGTGTGCAGCAACCAAATTCTCCTCCAAGCTTGAACATTTTTGCAACATGGCCGCTTCTGCAGAAGTGGGGCTGGTGGCACTTCCTATGTGTTCCCATGTGGGGCTCCTGTCTAATGACCTACGAAGAATTCTCCCGAGTGAGTGGCTTTTTTGGGGGGGTGGAGGCCTCTGCAGTTGGCATGTAGCACTGAAGCAGCAACTGCTCCAGCCAAGAGATGAGCTTTAGAGCCCCTCAGGGACCTGGCAAGCGCCCAGGCAGGCAGCCGAGCAAGCAAGCAAGCAAGTGTGTGGGAGGATAAGATGGGACCTGACAAATGAAATGGCACCTTGTGTTGGTGGAAGATCACAGCCCCCTCTTGCACTGAGTGGGTTCTCTCTGAGAACAGGAACTTGGCCTCTATCTCGGGACATATTGCAGAGGGTGGCTGGAAGTGTGTGTGTGTGCATGTGTGTGTGTAGGTGTTTGGTTGGCATGGGAGCTGCATTTGGAACCGCACCGTGGGTAAGGAACTGGCGCTTGTTTTATTTGCTGGTTCGTGACTTGTATGCTCAGCAAGCCATGGCAGAGTGTGGAGAAAGATGTTGCGGTGAGAAGATGAGGGGCTACTGAAACCCTTTTGTCTCCAGTGTCCTCAGTTTTCAAGACTCGCAATGAGCATATCACCCGCCAGTCGGAATCAAAACCAGCCTATTCAGAACTGTTTGATTAAGAGGGCATTTGCCCCAAAATATGTAATCTGTCTTTTTCAAACTAATGAACTGCAGTTTAGTAATATTTTTTTGTCCTGCGGTACTAGGGTTGCCATATTTCAAATAAGTTGAAATATTTCCAAAAAGTTGCCCAAAGTTGTTGAGATTTGGGGGCAAAATTGCAAAAATAAAATAAAATATGACACTTTTGAACTATTTTTAAGGAAAATTGGCAAAAACAACACTGTCAACATGGGTTGCCATGGATTTCCCCTGACATTTTGCTGATATCCGCCTGGACACTGCTTCCGACCACAGTATTCCAGATATGTCTGGGAAATTCTGGATGTATGGCAACCCTATAATGTCATGGTGAATGAATGCATGGTTGTATAGGAAATGCATGGTTCTCCCTGCTCCTTGCAAGCCTCGCAACCTAGATGCTCCCCCCACTCCACTCTTGAGCCTCTGGTAAGAGATCTGGTGGAGAATGACAGGGAGGCTCCTCTCCAGGTCTGCAAGGGCTCAGGCTGCAGAGAGGCCTTCGGTGCCCATTGTGCCTCCAGAGACAACAACAACAGGAGCAAAATGGAAACTAGAGATGCTTGGGGGTTTTTTTGCTCCCGATTTGGTGTCTGTGCCCTTCGTGTGCTCACTGGGAATGGAACCCCAGGAAAACAGACTTTCTCCCCACGTCCTCAGTCTAGTGGGCAAACCCAGTTGGGATCCACATCTTCACCTGGCAAACATTCATCACTGATATTTCAAAGTGGTCCTCAGGGAGGGACAGATGAGCCTTATTTGTGGTTCCTGTCTGTTTCACAGCTGTTCATTTCTAAGTCCATTCCATTTCCAAAACAATCTGTGAATCTTTTAAAAACTGAAAAGCTCACATTACTTTTTTAAAATTAAATAAATAAATAAATAGATGCATCTTACCCTAGAGTTATATGTTTTATCCAAAACACACTTTTGGGGGGTATGTGTTTGAATCAATAATCCATTTTTAAATATTTTGTATGTATTTAGAGCCCCAAACCAAAATGACAATTCAGAAAGAGTTCTGATGCATTTGTTGACCTGGGAAGTGTGAATCAAGTCTGCTATAAAAATGCAGACCAAGTGAAATCCTTGAGTGTCCTTCGTGGTCCCTCATTAAAATTGCATAGTCCTGATCTTGCTCCTGGTTCCCTGACCCCAAGTTCTCTCAGATCAGGTCCAGGTCCTGCTGCTACAGGGGTACAAGATCCCAGGAATATGTTGGTGCTGGACCTAGTGAGATACAGGCCAGTCAAGCTTAGAGTTCCCTTTGCACCCAGGATAGGGAGCAAGTCCAGAGCAATGCTGCTACACAGAGCTGGAGTGGTTCTCCAGGATTTCTCAAAGGGGACATTCCCAGCCCTACCTGGAGAGGCCGGGGATTGAACCTGGAACCTTCTGTGCCCAAAGCAGATGCTCTACCACTAAGCTAGGGGCTTTCCCCTACCCTTCTGTCAAGAGCTTGAAGGTGGTTGCCAGGTTAAACACCTGCCTAATCTTCTGCATTAGGCCTGATTCCTAACAGCTTGAAACCAAGGGGCGCCTCTGGCACTGCATTAGAAGACTTGGAGATGTGTTTAAAATTATTTTCCCTGCGTTATACTGCTCCCTCCCCAGTGCAAACCAGCTCTCCAAGTCGAAGTGTCTGCCCACAGCCACAACCATTTTTGTGGTCCTCATGTCAATTGTGGAATTTGTGTGTGTGTGTGTACATAAAAGCAATACTTATGAGTGTGTTTCTCTCGGTAGGGCTGCCAGGTCTCAGGGTTTGACTGGAGTTTCAGCTTCCTTCTCAGCAGTTCTAAGGAAAGAAGCCAAATCTTTGGCTGAGGGGCCAGAACTGATGTACCAGGCATAGTTTGCCTGTGGAATTTGCTCCCACAAGAAGAACAAAAGCCAAAACTTTGGAGTTGGCTAGGATGTGACCTGGAGGGAAAAGGTTGCAGTCTGGTAAAGGCAGCAAGCTGGAAAGAGGGTCAGAGCTATGGCTGATGTCTTTCTGAATTTACAGCTGTAGCCATGGAAGAAGCAAGACCCTCTTGTAGTGCCATCTGAACGTGTGACCCAAGAGCTGCCCAAAGCTCACCTGCCATGTTGCAAAGGATGTTGGGTCCCAACACTGGCGGAGGAAGAGGAGTGCGGGGGGAGTGCACTGCCCCAGCAGCGTGATCCCGGTGAGGTGCCATCGCGGCTGCTCCCCCACCCACACTGGGTGCCACGCCCCCAGGATGCGCACCACACCCCTGCGGGTGGCACGCTATGCCCCGGGATGTGCGCCAGCCCCGCCCCACCTGCTTTCTGCCCCCCGGTGCTTGAGCATGAAGCTCCGCCACTGGGTCCCAACTGCCTCCAGATGCATATCCTTACAAAGTCCCCCAGGGTGTACTTCTCATGATTTCTTAGGATCACCCTGGGAGCAAGGCATAGGGCTCTCTGGGGGGACTCCCTTGGGCACCCATCTCTCTGGGGTGTGTCAGAGAGAGATCGTAGATCCATGGGAGAACCCATGCTGAGCAAGCAGAAGCTCTTAGGTTCATTCACTCCTTGGCATCTCCAAGTAGGGATGGGACACACCCCTGCCAGGTCCCTGGAGAGCTGCTTCCAACTGGTGGAGACAATACTCATTGGAACATTGGAGTCCTCATTACGTTGGGTCAGACCATTGTGCCATCTAGCTCATGACTGTCCACACTGACTGGCAGTGGCTCTCCAGGGTTTCAGGCAGGGGACATTCTCAGCCCTGCATGGAGATGCAGCCAGGGATTGAACCTGGGTCCTTCTACATGCAAGGCAGATGTTCTTGCCACTAAGCTGCAGTCCTTCTCCAGCTATATGGACCACGGATCTGACACACGCTAACGAAGCTTCCTGTGTTCTTTTTAAAGCATGCTGCGTGACTGAGACATATACTTGTTATCCTACAGGGAATCTCACCGAAACACAATATTGGCTGCAGCTCCATGTCAAGAACACAGTCGAAATCCTGGGTCTGCTGCCACGTAAAGTGCAGAATAGCTCATTGCCTGGCTTTCCTTTTACTCCCTCCCTCTCTTCCCCTCCCCCCATGCAAAAATATCTTTCTCTTCTTCAGCTGCTCCTCCTCGTCCATCATTCCTTGTGGCTTTCTCCCATCAGTTACTAATTATTCGTAACTGAAGCAGTTCTTTTGGGATCTTTTCCAATGGGCACCAGATGGAACGTTAACCCCCAAACCAGCACTGGCGAATCACACACAAATCTGCTTTTTAGTGGCATGGGGTGTGGGGTGAACGGGGGGGGGGGGGGGCAAAGGAGATAAATTAGTCTCCATAAATTGTTTTTAAATGACGCTCAGATATTCAATGACTGCATCTTTTGAAGTTTGCCTTCCTGTGCTGTGCTTGCGTTTTTGATATGGTTGGTTGGGTTTTAAAATTTAATTTTGAAAGGCATATCTGCCAATTCTGACTCTTCTTCCTCTCCCCCATTTTGTCTCTGTTTTGGAATGGGGGGGGGGGGCGATCATCTCTTCTCTCCATTTTGTCTATTTTTATCTTCTTGGTTGCAAAGTGTCAGAGGGTCTTTTTTTTTTGTCTTGGCTTATCTAGGGGGTGGGGAATCAAATGTAAAGCTTCAAAATTGATGTTTTCAGCTTGGCATTCAAATAGTTTTGTGTAAAGGGTTTGTAACTGAATTAGGCCGGCAGCCAAAGACTCCATTCCCATTTTTCATGAAAGAAAACAAACAACCCCCCAAGCTTCCCCAAAGAGATGTGTGTACAGACTGTTTCTGAAGATCAGTGAACGCTCCTTCCCCTTTCACTTCCCCCAATCCTCAATCTGACTGAGAAATCCTCTGAGCCTAAAATATAGGCAAGATTTCGTGTTTTGGAGATAAAAGATGCAATCTTTTACATAGGGCGGGTGTGCATATATGCTTTTTCTAGGGAAATTCCACAAGCAAACTAACCTATAATTCTGTTCTTTAGTGTTAGGTATATTATCTTAATACAAATTTCTTTTAAAATGTCTTAAATGTTATTATTTCAACAATGTATCCCCACTCATCTACATTACACTTTACCACAGACATGGAGGTGTATGGAGGCATCAACATCTGCCTTGCAGTTCGCTGTAGCAAAATTATGTAATTTACATAATTTACATAAGTTACATTGTCGTTACCTTACTCCACCTTATTAATTCAGAGGCAAAGGAAACCCAGTGCATATTGGGGGACGGGGGCAGGGAATCAATTATGTATTGTTTGCACACTTAAAGCAACAACCATAGTGAATACTGATCATATTTGCTGGTTGATTTCCATTCTGCACACGGGACGAATAAGCAAACAGTACCAATTCCCATTCTGGGTTCCATTTTCCTTGAAATCGACTGAGAGAACAGGTCCCTGCCCCAATGAGACTACAACCTCTCTCTCATTTTTTTACAGGAGACAAGTGGGAGCAGGAAAAGAATTTGCAATCAGGGACATTGTTAGGGGTGGTACAGGGATTGCCTTCCCCAGGTCTCTTATGCTGGGGCTCAAATTGTCTGCTTTTTTTAAAAAAACTCCTTGCAGGACTTCTGAACAAAGAAGAGGCAGTAAGATCTCAGCCATCCAACATCTTAATCTGCTCAGAGATCTGAATTTGCATTTGTACATATAAAGTAGGTAGTACGTATTTCATGCAAATTTGCACCATAAATCTGTGCCTGAAAGTATCGAGCACTGTCCCTCTTTACACACGCTTAGGTTTATTTGCAGCAGGCAGTGGCGTAGCATTGGGGGAGGCATAGTGGCAGTTCCCCCAGGTGCAAAATTGTTAGGAGCACAAAATTTCAACACCCAGTGCTGTCTCAGTACAGCTGCACACTTCCATCACTGAGCTCCATTGAAAAACCAGGAAGTAACCTCTCCAGACAACAGAACCACTTTTCTTTTCTTATCTCTGCTGCTGCAATTTCCTGGGTGACATCGCCGCTGTTAGACAGTTGAATGCGCATGTGTACCCTGTCCGTTTCCTTCCCTCCCACCCATCCTCTGCACGGCCCCGGGCACTGGCACCCACGCTATGCCACTGGCAGTAGCTTCAGTGTCCAAGGCTTCACAGAAAGAGAAGAGCACTGTGGCACTTAGGCTCCTTCTTGCTTCTTATGATCTTCCTATGAGGGAACTGGTTTGCCATTGTAAGAATAGGATTCTGGACCATATCAGCCCTTAGTTTGATCCAGCAGCAGCAAGGCTCTTCCCACGGAAAGGTTTTTTTTTAAGGAAGTCAGGGTGGGGCTATCATGGAGATGTTCCGGATATACAGGGCAGCAGGGAGAAAGAATAGTGTTGTTTAAATAGATGCAGGAACTTCTGAATATTAATGCTTCCATGATCTGAAGATGTGCCACCCCTTCACCACATAAAAGTGAGCTTGCAAGAGCAAATAACTGGAGAACTGCTGTGATCTCTCACGTCCTGTGACGTTTAGAAGAATCACTTAAACATTCTTGGAAAGGTTCAACTATGGAACCAAAGATTATCTTTATGAACTCACTCCTTGCAAATCGTGCCTTTGGATTTACTAAGCAAGTTGTAAAAGATTACAAACCTCACATAGTCCACTCTTACTATGGAATAACAACCTCATAAAATGCTCAAATTGGAACCATGCTAAGGAGGTGTCTTAGAAGTGGGAACACAGTCTCGCCTTGGATCCTCTGCAGGACTCCTGCCTCATCCCTCTGGGTTTGAAAATAATTGGTGTCAAATTTGAATACGAATCTGACATGTCCCTCTGAGCATGCAACCTTTGCCAACTCAGGAACTAACGTAGCTATTCTTAATAGCAACTTTTGAGGTGGAATAGAAGCGGCTTCACTGGTCTATATTAGCAGTTAATGGCTTGCCAATCTGCAGTTCATTTCCATCCCAGCAGTTTCTGAGATGGAATAGTTGATGTCAATAGAGCATCGCTTTCTGGAACTTAGGAAAGAGCTGTGCAGATTGCATTGCATCAAAAGCAGCAGTGTCTTTTTATGCACCTGCACAATGACACAATTCAAATCTCAGCTCCCTAGGCACACCGCAGTCAGCTCTGGAGCAAATGAGTTTTCATCTGTGAGAAACATGAAGTTTTATTGTCAACACTAGTCGGGGGGGGGGGGATTCCATTCCATCTGCATTTTAATGCAAACTTACCTAATCCACACTTCCTGGACCAATAAGCAAGCTGAAATGAAGCTTTTTCTAATTTTGCAATGCATTGCTTCAACCCCCAAAAGTGTGTCCCCCCAAAAGTAACCATTAGGGAAAATTGTACACAAAAATGTGTACATCGGTGAAAAAAATGCACAAAACATTCTTTCCGAAAGAGGGTATTAGGAGAAATGCACAAGCAAAATATTTCAGGATCTCAACACAGATTATTTTTAAGGAAAAAATTATGGAAATGTGGCAAATTTTAGAGGTGGCATTATTAGAAGGGCATAGAAACTAAAAGGCTGAAAATAATGGTGGTGGCGGTGGAAGGGAGACCCAGTATTCTTCAAGAGGGCATGATGCCATTTTATCCTCAGGGAGAAACCTCTGGTGCAGATGTTACTTTGCAGGGGGAGGGAAGGCACAGTGGCACCTGCTTTGGAGTTCCCCTCAAAGCCAAGGAGGCCAGCTGAGAATGTTGCAAGCCTGGTCAGGCTTCCCCAAGATAGTGCCCTCCCAAGATGTTGTTGGGACTACAGCTCACATCAAGCCCAGAGAGTAGGGACAATGAGTGAGGACTGCTGCGGCTGATTGGAGTTATAATGCAAAATATCCTTACACTGGCACTGCTTCAGGTCCAAGAGTATATATATATATATTTAGGAGGAGGAAATTTTCCATGTAAACTGTCTTCAAGCTTTTAATACCAGTGCTTTGAGTTGGGCCCAGAAACTGATGAGAAGCCAGTGTGGATGACAAGATCTGTGATGTGGTCATATTTACCATTCCTCATCAATTAACTTCGTTGCACTATTTTGGAGCAACTGTAGTTTTCAAAGGTACCCCCATTACAGCAGTCTAGCTGGGAGGCCAGTCTTTTGCAGCTTAAGAGTCTGGCCTGCCTCCTCTGCCTGAGCTGTAACCAAATAACCAAGAGGCACCTGTGACTCTTTTTGCAGTCATATTCCACATGGCGTGACCTGTGGACTGGTGAGAAGAAACACACACTGTGGTAGCTGTCTGACAGGTATGTGCATGCGGAATCTCACCTGCACAAGCACAGTCACTGGATCACAACACACACACACACACACGTGTCAGTTCGTGCAACATCATTGTTTTACAGCTCCCCTCCCATTTGTCTCTAAAATACATAGCAGTGCTATGGGGGGAAATAATTGCCCAATAAAAAAAGGATTATAAAAGTTGGGTGATATCTCATAGCCAGCAGCTCTAATTACCCCCCTAATTATCACTGTGTAACTAGCACTGGAATAAATCCCCTGTTGCAGAGTCTTTGGGGGTTGTCGGGAAAACAAATGGCCCACGGTTGCGCTTGAGCACTGGAGAGACTCTCTGGTAATCATTCTGACCACCCGCGACATCTCCTTCGCCATGTGCGGAGGAAATGATCAGGTGTTAATTAGATGCCTGCTTATTGAGATGCATGCATGCATATTTGTTAACCAAAAAGAAAGAAAAAAGGAACCCTCTGGGAAAATAGATTTGTCACCATTAAGGAATGAATCTGTGCAGAAAAGAAGCAACTCTGAACTCTGACGGTCTGCCGTCAAGCTAGAGAGCTAGTGCCTCCCTCCCTCCACTCTAATTCTGTGTTGTAGTGTGAGAGTACAAACTCAAGCAGACAATGACCAGCAGTTAAAATGGCCACAACTTTATTGGCTGCAGGCGTAGATGGAACTTTGGCTGCAGGCACTGGGTGTAGATCCATTCCAGCATCCTCCTGGAGGGCTGGAACCCCTTTGAGGTTGTGCTAAGGATTATGGCCTCCCCAAGACGTTGATCTACTGAGGTGGCTGTCCTATTGCTGCCACTGGAAGCCCTATGGCCCATCTGCCCCACTCTGGCTTCTGGACAGGGACATCCACCAAGACCCCTTTAACAGAGTACCCTGAAAACATAGATGATCCAGGATGGGCTGATGCACCATCAAGGACTAAGATTCCACCCAATTCCTTAACTGCCTAAAGTTGTGATGTTTTGCTCTGGGGAAGGCAAAACCTCTAGACTGGTCAATTCCTTCCTGGCTCCAAACACAGAGGATTTGGTGCACGGGCAGGGCACCCTGTAAGAGAGATAGGGAACCCATAGCAGATGTGTTGGAACTCCATTCCTATCATCCCCAGCCAGCATGGCCAATGGGAAGGGCCACAGCAGCTCAGTGATGGGGCATCTGCTTTGCAAGCAGGAAGTCCCGGGTTCAATTGCCAGCATCTCCAGATAGGGCGGAAGAGCCTCTGCCAGTCAGTGTGGGCAGTACTGAGCTAGATGGACCAGTGATCTGGCTCAATAAAATGCACAGCACAGCCCTGTGTCAAGGATGATGGTAGTTTTAATCCAGGAGCAACATCTGGAGGACCACAGGTTCCTTATTCCTGCAATACAGCTAATTAAATAATAATAAATGACCAAAGGAACCACATGCAATTATGTCAAAATGTTAATAGACTGAAGAAAATTACATACTCTAATGCATTATATTAGGGGGAAGTTGCTTTCCAAAAAAAGTAGTATTAGTCATATATATTAGGAGAAATTTGCACTAAAATTTTGTCTAAATTTGTTTTTAATATTGTTTTTAATGTTGCAACCCACCCAGAGACCTTGGGGTTAAGGATGAGTAATAAATACATTAAGAAGAAGAATGCTGATGAATTTTCAGGAGGGCTTTTAAAATTGCAAAGTAATGCAGAATGTGCAGAACTGAGTTTAAGAGTGGGAAAACAGAGAGAAACCAGAATTAACTGATTTGTCTATCCCCACCTCTCTCACAAGGCTGTTCCTGAATCTGGATGCTACAACCAAAAAATGCCTCATCTTGGGTGCCCATGCACTGGGATCTGGTGATTTTGGGGAGGAGGGAGGATTGCCACACAGTGAAAAGCCTCTGAAGCAGACTGTGCTTCTCGGGTAGGTTGCTGTGGGAGGAGGTGATTCTGGGGATGCTCAGGCTGGCCCCAAGCCATGGAGAGACTTAAAGGTCAAAATCAGCAACTTGAATTAAGCCCAACCACAAATTGGCAACCTGTGAGGGCTATAAAATAACTGAGGTTTTGGCAGCAATCTAATCTGGAAGTGACTAAAACATGACTGACTGAGGCCAGGTCTTGTTTCTCAAAAAAGGAAGGGGGGGAGCACTGGGGGCACAGGGAGTGGAATGCCATACAATGGACAGATACCTTGGTGTTGGCCTCATTCCAGCTACTTATACATGCAGCTCATTCAAAGCTATTGATCCATCTTCCCCAGCTTTGGTTAATCTCTGGCATAGAAAGATGTCCCTGTCCAATCCCAGGAGACTTCTGGGATATGGACCATTTCCTCATATATTGCACCCTTTGCAAAGTCTGTGTGCTTGAAATCACACCTCTGCCACCAGTGGATTGAACGTGCAAATCAGTAGCCAGAAAATCTCCAGAGGGCACCAAATTGGCAATGACTTCCTTAATGTTTTGGGTTGCATAACTTTACAGCCTGGGAGCACCTCCTGGGTGTCTGTTTAATGGGCTGCTGTTTCCTATGAAAATGTCAACAGACCTGTAGAGCAAATAACTGCGGACCCTGCAAAAAATAAAATAATCAAATCAAAAAATAAGGCTCATTCCTACCATCCTGCCAGGTATGGAATAATTTGAGTGTGGGGGTGGTTTGAGTTCAGTCTTCTCTACAGAGGTCTGAAAATCCAAGGCTAAGACGGCAGCTGCTCTCTGTCTGCTGAGGGAGGCCTCTTGTTAAGCGATTTCCCAGCCAGAACTGCCAGGGGTTGCAATCCTATTTCTTCCCTGCAGTTCCTGGAAAATCGCTTTCTGGGTCTATATAAATCTGTAGATGCCAGAGAACTTCTGAGGTTTTCAATTTTGCCTGAGTCAGCTCAGGATTGTAGCGGTGGGGTGGGGGTGGGGATGTACAGTATATGGAAGATGTGCAGTTCTGCAAAACATTTCTCAAGGTTTGCCTTTGACTCAGGGCTTAGAAATGTCTCCAAGCCTTGCATTTCATTTTTCCATTCCTGGGGGAAACCCTTTGTGGGGACAGTTCTCTTCAACGCAGCCTAGGAGGTAAGACTCGGAGTGCAACTGACTGCAGGGGTTTGTGAAGAAAGCAAGAATCAAGGGAAAGAGTTGGTTGCAGAGTTTTGTTTTGGTTTTGCAAGCTGTTTTGGGGTGTTTTAAAAATACACACATATTTGCATCTCTTCCCCCCTCCCCCGGCGAACTTTGTACTCCATTTTCTTGGGTATGAAGCAAGAAGATTCCAAATTTCAATTTGTGGAAGGGCCGTAGCTCAGTGGTGTAGCTAAGGTACCAGGGCTGCATATGCCACCCACCAAAGAATCCTGGGAAATGAAGTCTGTCCATCAAAGAGCTGCAATTCTCAGCACCCATAACAACCTACAGCTCCCAGGAATCTTTGGGTGGTCATGTGCTGTAGTGTAATGTGTACACAGCCTAGGTTAAATCCACAGCATGTCCAATAGGAGGAAGGAGAGGGCACTTCCAGGCAACCTATTTATTGAGCATTCATCCTGATTTGTTTGCCTGGAGATTAGATGATACATCAATGCAAAGGTTACCCTACAGTTTCTGGTGCATTCCCTGTTACTTTCCTTAAAACAAAATGTCTGATCTTTTGTGGAAGTAAGTTTGTTGCATAAGACCTCCCAATCATCTATAACTGGGATATTCGAACTTGATGGTGTTCAGTTGAATGCTACCTCCAAATAGCCACAGTCTGGAAGCATCATCCAGAGAGATGTATTCCTGAGACCCTATAGCCTGTAAGAGTAGAAAGTAGAGTATACTGAGTTAGACTGGCCAACAGGCTGTTAAATACAAAGTGGTTTCCTATGTTCATTAGCCACAAAATAACAAATTTGATTGTGGTCCACAAACTTTTGCCATAATAAATTGGTTATTTTTCTGTATTTATATGTTGTTCTTGTATTTACCTGAAAAACCAATAAAAATTATTTGGCTAAAAAAGTTGTTACTTTTTTTTAGATGCCGCAAGACTCTTTGTTGACATTCAACTGTGTTTCTTGGAAGCTGAGCAAGGTTGGTCCATTATGCATTTTTCTTCGAGTTGTGTTTGCTGCAGAAGATAACACAGCCACCCCTCTAATAAGCTGTAATAAACTAAATGTCCAAGCGGTTGTGCAGTTAAGCCCAATTCGCAAACAGCCATGATCCACATCTGCATTATGCTACTTGAATGGGGAATGTGATGCACTATTAAGATAACTTTGGGTAATAATATGCTTGTGTTGTGCAACAACTACTTCTCTCATCCGCGTTGGGAAAATCACATATTTGCCTCTCTAGTTAAATATCCCAAACATGCAACTCAAACACTGGAGAAGGTGAAATATATCCGTAGAAATGTGGGGCCAGTTTCACATAACAACCTCGCCTGAAATTTGAGAAATTTCCCATCATTTCCAGCACTGTCTGTTCCAGCACTTTTAAAGTATTCAGCGCTTAGGAAATTGGCCTCTTTATAAAACCTCTCATTTGAAAGCTTGATAGCTGAAAGCCACATCCAGCTCTCTCTGGCTGGGTCCTGACAATGGGGGTTCTGTCTTGCTTCTGTCTCCTACGTCCAGGCTTCTATAGCACTTAACACACATTGTGTGATGTGTGAGCCAGGACTGCATTCAGCAACCTTCTCCGTAACCAAGTTGGCTGGGGAGGTCTGTAAGGAAAAAGTAGCATTAATGGCAGCTATTTTAGTCCCCAGAAAGTAGGCTGTAGTTGTTGGCTGCTCCAAAAGTCCTTGGCAAATTTCACTGTGGATTTTTCTCTCCTTCCCACTACTTATTAGTTTTCTTACATTTTCTAGTTTGCTCTTTCTTTCTTTTGCTTAAGGCAGGCAGCTGCCATTTTAGAACCTGAGGAAGAAAACCTGAATAAAGCTGCTGGTAAAGGGGTGACAGATACCTCGGGTAAGCCATAAGCAACCATGTTAGAACACAAGAAAATGTCCTGCCAAGATAGTTCTATTAAGTCCAGCATCTCATGATGACCAACCAGATGCCTTTGGGAAGCCCACAAGCAACAGCACTTCCTCCCACTCAGTTCAGAGGCCTACCACCTCCGCGACTGGAGGCTGAGCATAGTCAGTGTGGCTAGCATTGTCAACCCCCTTTTAAAGCCATCCAACTGGGTGACCATTGCTACATCTAGTGGCAGACACTTCCACAGGTTACAGTAACTATGTCCCATGCAGACAAGTCCTTCTTTTTCTGTCTTGAATCTTGCACCTTTAAGCTTCTTTGGATGAATTCTAGAATTACGAGAGGGGAAGAGAAACAATGATCCATTTTCTCCATGCAATGTGTCATTTAATAATGCAATGATGGCTAAGTTCCCCTTTAATTGGCTTCCCCCCCCAAAAAAACCCCTGAATAGCCCCAAAGCATAATGAAGAGGTAGAATAGCTCATTTTCTTGTACTGAGGACTTTCTTCTAACCTAACCTGGGATGGGCAGTTGTGGCCCTCAAGATATCTGTTGGACTCAAACTCCCATTAGCCTCAGTAGCATTGCCTGTGGGCAGGGATGATGGGGGTTGTAGTCCACCAACATTTAGAAGTCTGCAGGTTCCCTCCCCACTACCTAAACATTGTAAGGGGATTGTGGCAGCTACTGGGCCCAAGAGGGTTGAGGAGAACGAGAATCGTGGCAAGAAACATGAGGCTTTGTTTTGTTTTGTTTTCATTTGTTTTTCCTGTGTCTCCATCCTGACAGAAATCACTCCTCTGAAGCTGCTATTTGGTGTGGAGGGGAAGCTGCCCTCAGTGCTTGCTGTGCTGCCTCCCTGTGCTTCAGTTCTGGTCCCAATTGGCCACTGATCCTGCCACACTTGCAGCTGCCATTTTAAAGGTGGCATTTCACAAACCAAGCCTCTTGACCTGAGGCTGATTTTTGCATGAAAGGCCAGAGGGGAGAACCTGCCTGCAGCCTGTATTTTCACACTGCAGATGTCAGGGATTAACCACAGTACCTTCTGCACACAGGATGCATTATTATTTGTTCATTTATATCCTGCCTTCCCTCCAGGGAAGTCAGAATGGCATACAAGATTCTCCCTCATCTTATCCTCGCAACAACCCTGTGAGATAAGTTAGGCTGAGGGATAGTGGGTTGTAGTTAACCAAGTTCTACTCTCAGTACACCCACTGGAATGAATGAACCTAAATTAGGCCACCTTCACAGCTCTGG